ATTACCGGATACCGGATATCGGATATCCGGTATCGAATCAAATATTCAAAGTCATTTCTTCGAGTTGAATATCCGACATTTTTCGGATATCCGAACGGATTCTGAGAAAGTCTTTTAAAAAAAAAATTTATAGAAAAAAAGATTGTTATTTTGCAACAATGTATAAGATATTATAACATTATGAATATGCATACATATTTCTAGAACATTTGTATAAGAAAAAATCAATAATTTGATGATATCAAATTTCAACCGGATATAATGATATCCCGGATACTAATGATATCCGGCTATCCGGTCGAATAGTAAAAAAAATACCAGATAATACTGGATACTGGATATTTTCCGGATATTCAATGCATCCTTAGTTTTTTTCCTGTCAATTTGAAAGTAGGTATTGATATACAATTGTTGTGTTTGTGTGTATAAACATTATATTACATTTACACAATGACAGTGTTTGGGCGAGTTATAAGCATAACTATAGAGTTATAAGCATAACTTTCCATACCACTTGTATGTACATGCATTTATATGTATTCTGCAAATTAACTATGTGCAAACTTGCGTTAGAATTATGAAGCGTGTTTATAAGAAACAATATTGTAAACTAGCAATTTGCTTTTTGCACAATTTGATGTATTTCCAAAATACTATTTATAAAATAATTAGGAAACTTGTTTACATTGGAAGATCTCCCAGTTATTTTGAGCTTGGCACATATTATCAAGGTAATGACCCTGAGTGATCTCCAATAGGTTTTAGCCGTCGCTGATTAAAAAGTTATTAAGAAGAAAAGTTTAAAAAATAACGTCTCTTTTCCACTATATATATGTATATAAAAGATTCTTTGCTTTAAGAAGGTTCTCGCGCTACTTTCTAGTCAACAGTTTAATCATAATAATACAAAGTAAAACTATAATAAATAAAAATAATGAAATAAAAATATTACTAACAATATCTTATGCCATATAATATTATACATACTTATTATTAAAATTTTATGTTATTAATATATTAAATATTTTTAAAATGACAAAATAAAAATTGTAAGATGCTCATTTGATGTATATCACGCATCGTCTGTTTGACATATTAGGTGTTGGAATTAATTCGTAGCGTTTTACAAGTGATGGGAAGTACTTTCATTAATGTATTTTTTAATGCTCATGTGAAATAAATAACATTCTTTCATTAAAAAACGCTACGAATTAATTCCAACACCTAATATATTCTAATTTTTTTCATTGAAGAAATTTTTTGTAAACTGTATGGTCAGTTTAAATAAAACTTTACGAGAAACTTAAGTGTTTACTTTATAATTATAACAATTTTTAAATTGCTGTCTTATACGCAAGTGTCTCAATTTAAAAGAGAATAACTACAGAATAAGGTTATACCTTCAACTTGTAATGTAAAATTCTATGCATGTAAAATTAAATATATTTTCAAAATGATACGGTAAAAGTCAATGAAATTTTTTCTAGATATTACTGGTATTATTAACATTTGTATTACATATATATTATAGACTTGTCTTACATTTCATCAAATGTGAGAACCTCCTTAAAATAGATTTCCTGCTTTAAAAACAAAAAATTTTTTTGAAAACATTATTTTCTCATATAATTTTTGTTTTTATATAGTAGCGTATAATGGCGCACAACTTTCTACGCGAAGTGAGATTTAAACGTGTGAAGTTGGCTCTGCACTTTTCGAATTTCGTAATTTTCTTAATTGCGCTATGTTGTACTAGATTTGTGCCGATGTAGACCGCAAACCGTAGCTCAATAACATGAAGTATTTTCCAAAAAGAAATTTTTTTTGGTGGCCCCGCACTTTTTGAATTTTGTAATTTTCTTGATTGTATTATATTGTGCTACGTTTGTGCCTCAAACCGCAGCTCTATAATATGAAGTGTTTTCCAAATAAAAAAAAATTTGTTAGCCTTACTAATATTTAGGAATGAAAAACTTTGAACTCTTGTGACAAAGTTGCGAATGATGTGAGATAATCGAATTCTGCGAGTTGCGCTGAATTGATTTTGAGTAGCATAATTCAGCACAACTCAGTAGACCAACGTGAACCATCTAAAGATCTCTACGAGCGACATCGTTCAACATATCGTCACAGATCTCATTTGAGAAGGCGATAGGTAGAGGAGATTGAAGTAAGCAAGACCAGCAGGTTATCTGCTTTCTTGCCATGATGAAAGGAATTATCGAACCAATCATATTAGGTCATTTAAAAAGTATCCGCGGTATTTTGTTCAATTTTTGAATGAAAAAATCGCGGATACTTTTTAAATGACCCAATATTACAGATCATTGCGGGGTACAGGTTCCCATTCATACAACATGCATCCTTTCAGTCTAAGGAATCTTAGATTCATCTATCCAAGCTAGATGAGCAGATTTGTCCCCAAGAGATTTCTTGCCTGCGTAAGGATGCAATCGAGAGGGTAGCAGTGTGAGGGCCAATTTTTCGTTATCAAAAAATTGTCAGGAGGGTGGAGATTTATTCTTAATTTAAAAACTTAAATTAATATATTATTACTCCTCATTTCAAACTGAAAAATTGGAAGATAGTCATTCATCTTCTCTCTTCAAACGATTTTCTAGCTTCTATTGATTTGGAGAATGCTTATTTCCTAGGCTCTATCCACCCGGAGGATAGAAAATTCTTACGATTTCGTTTTCAGAGTCAGCTCTTTCAATTCAGTATTGCCTTTGGCGTCAGCCCCGTACATATTTACAAAGATCCTAATATTTCCGTAGAAAGAAGGGCCTTTTCTCGGTATACCTAGATTTTCTTCTTACCGCACCAATATTTAAATAATGTGTAAGGAATGTTTCTCTATCACATTGAATTTATTAACATCCTTTTACCATTAACAAGAAAAAGAGCATACTTATCTCGGTGAGAACCTCTCGATTTTTAGGCTTTACATTTTACACAGAACATTTCACAATCTTAATTCCTTCTAAGGAACTGTGAGTCCTCCAGATGACTCTAAGTATACTAAAAGGACTACATGCAAAATTCAAACCTTAAGGTTTATCGGTTCGCTAAAAACCATCTGTCCAGTATGGCATGTTATATATCAAACTTTTGGAGAGGGAGAAGTTCCTGGCCCTGGCGTCCTCGGATGGCTTTGAGAATCGTATATTCTTTTCAGTCTTGGTTGACTTTCCACTTTGCGATCCTAACAATAAAGCAGATGACAGAACTTTTATTTTTTATATGTATTAGAATATGAATCTTACCTGGTTTTCCTTTTTTCGGACATACACACACAAACATATATATATATGATTAAAAAGAAAAAAATTTTTTTTTTAATCAGCTTCTCAGCTCAAAGCTTCCATTTCATGCCAAAAAAACACCTCTAAATTTTTATTAAAAAATATTAAGATTTAAAGATCGCTAGTGAGCGGTTTTTAAATCAAAGTTTCGGTTTTCTTTAATACATATTTGATTTGATGCAAAAATGGTTTAATCCGGATTTTAAATGCGGTACTGTATGTCTTTTTGATTGCTGAACACGATGCAATAATTTATTTAGTTCTACGATATACACCCTAAGAAATACCTCTTTTGGTTTCCTATGCGCTTGTTGAGAATAACAGCGGAACGCTACTACTTTGTCCATCAAGACAAGACAGCATAATTGAAATCGAACTTCACCATAAGTTCGTTTAATTATTCAATTATACACCTTGAAAAGTCATGCGCTACTATATAAAAACAAAAATTGTATGAGAAAATGACATTTTTTTTTCAAAGAAAATTTTGTTTTTAAAGCAGGAAATCTATTTTAATGTAGAGAATTTTGTTCTATATAATAGAAAAAAGACGTTATTTTTTGAAATTTTTCTTCTTAAATAACTTTTTACTTTTTAAATAACGAATAACGAGCTAAAATTGGAGGTCATTTAGGGTTATGACCTTGACAACATATGTCAAGGTGAAGATCATTAGACAAGACGGGGGGGGATGGGTTCCTAATGAATAAACATTTACAAATAATTAATTTTAGTATATATTTTATTTATAAACTTTTGTGAAATGAAAGCTCTTTTACGAGAGTATAAACTCAAGAAGTTATACAAAATTAAAATTTTTATATTTTCTATTTTTTTTTTAATTACGAGTTTATTTCTACAAACATTCATAATAAAGCATTTCTATGTATCCAATAGTTTCAACTTCCTTATCTTTTTAACACATATAATTTTTAATACAACTAAAATTTTTAATAAAATTAACACTTGATTGAAAATTTGAAGAAACTCTAAAAGAAAAAATATACAAGCTATAGTATACACAAAAAAATGTACGAATAAGTCTTGCTTTACAAGTGTGCATGTACGCTCACACACATTCACACAAAATTGTAATAATGTATTAGCAATTATTATTGATAAATGTAATAACGACTATCACTGATTACACTAACGAATATTTGGTTTTAATTGTAAATATAAATTATGAACACAATAGTCTCTTTTTATTAGGTCTATTGTTTATAACTGAATTGTAATGTGCACTTTTGGAACTTAAAATAGGTATATGTACATATGTTTGATTTGATATTTAGTTAAACTAAAAAAATTATCATATTGCGTTAAAATTATGTTCTAGTGCAAACTAGTGCAGGAATAAAAAATAGACCCATCACATATTTTCGCTATTTCATATCCTTGATGGACTTGTCTTTTTAAGACATTAAATAAGAATTAAATGAGTTTAAATAATGCTCACAAATAAACTCATTTTATATTATCTTAATTCGCTATAATATTTAACTTTTCACCAAGAAGGACAAAAAATAAGTTTTATAAATATAACTTATATTTATACGTATATATTGACCATGGAGAAGTAATATTAAAGAAATATTGAATAAAATACTGCGAAAACATTTTTTCTTGGCAAATAATTTCTTGATAGAATTAACGTCAGTCTTTTATACAAATATATATTTTATATTTATTCAGTCTAGTATATTACCGTTAGATTTTTAATAATAATTTTCAAAAGCTGATTTCCTCTACAGATGTGAAGCAATCAGCAAATCACATATCTGTCTTCCTCGAACTCTCGGAGTATAGTAGTGCTAGGGCGATGGAGCTTAGCCGCTTTGATCTTGACTAATCAAGCAAGTAGTGAATATATCGATGTACTACATATCCTCAGTCTAATGACCTATCAGTGATGTATAAGTCAAACGTCGAAGCTGCATCGTCGTTCACCTTGTTAAAGACTTAGAAACGTTCAATATACATAATAGGATAATAGATGAGGATATCTTATCATCACGTATAGAAGCTTAACTATGTATTCAAATCAGAGTTTCTGAAACTAAGATAAATCAGATCTACCACTGATACATTTCCGCAAAGTCCTATTCAATTTGAGTAGTAACAAGATGGATTCGAAAAGTATTTATGTTACGATTCTGATCAATAATACAGAAGTTGAAACTAATGTAACGAAAAAAGAATGTGATTACTATTTATACCTTATATATATATATTTTTTTTTTTTAATGTCCAGAATCACGTCAATTTACAATTAATGTTTAAGTTTAATTGATCCCAGGATATTTTCCTTTCAAACATTTTATTTGAATACATTATTAACGCTTCTATGTTTTAGCTTTATAATCCGACCCTTGTTTCTGTTCGTGATTCATTATTGTACGTTTCGTGGCGTATTTATCGGTGCTATTTTTCAAAAACGTTTGGATAGTACATTTATCTTTGGCATACCAATCGGATATATCCGAATACAGTTTTGGCTTTTTCTGCTTATGCAGCACCTCACAAAGGGTACAAACAGCCCGCTCTGTCCCTCCTTTGACTCGATAATATTTCTTCCATTGTAGAAAGCTTTGATATCGCTGTAGATCCTGAGAGAGATATTTCAAGTACGCGGCAAGCTCCTTCGGACTCTCGAAGTCTAAAGCATTCACGTAGGAATTCGGCGGTACGAACCGACTGTAGTTGGCGCCTCCATAAACCACCGGGACGACATTGTGCCTGTAAGTATATCGATAAGAAGATCCCATTATTGGTTGATATTACTTTCTTACAATTTCGCTTATTCGACCTATGGAATCTGTATAGAAAGATACGGTAATTAAACAAACCAATGAATCATGTAAAATTAAAATAAATAATATAGATACGATTAGCTTTCCATATTGAATAACATATATCTGTCTACACACATCAATTATAAAAAAAAATAAAATTATTTATTTATAAGAAAAGATGTTGTTTCTGAGATATGAATAAATTGTTAATAAATTATAATTGTGACAAACAATAATAATAATAACTGAAAAACCACCTTGGTGGAAATATTTTTAGAATTTTTAAATAATTCATATTTCTTAAGGAAATTTTAAAAATTTTCAGAATTTCTACACAATTTCATAATCTTTTAAAAAATTTGTTCAATTTTTTTTACGAATTGGAACACTTCAAAAGTAAAGAAGTCTACGAATTTTTTCTAAAAATCTTCATATATGAATTCTGAAATATTTTATATTTTTTATTATAGAATTTCTCATTCTAGAATTTCTAAAGAAAATTCTTATAGAATCTGAAAAAGTATAAAAAATTTTTTTTTCAGAAATCTTCATAAATTCAAAACATGACAAATTTTTGAAGATATGAAATGATATGAAAATATTTTTCCTCAGGAAAACTTGATAAATATATGTTTATTAAAAATTATTAATAAAAAATATTGCTTTCGCATTTAAGGAGATCCCAAAGACGATTAGTTATAGTGTAAGTACAATACACATAGACGATTTACGTATCACTGATTACACATCACTACATCAATATCTCACGTACACATAAATTTTTGTATAATAATAACGTTTTAATTAGACATCTAAGTTCAATTCTAAAAACTGAACATTGTTTCTTGTACAAACTATTAGTCTAAGAACTACTATAATTTCGTACAGATTGTATCTGAAGCAAATGTTATCATGATTAGAAGTGTTGCTAACGATGCTTCAATATATACTTCCGTGTGAATCATCAGCATAAAAAATTATTAAATTATTTGTCAATTTAATAAATAATATTACAACTATGGTTCTGCTTATGATGTTTCAAGAAAAAATTTTCAACGCGCGATTTGCATAATCAAACGTAAATAAATTCATGCGGAAACTTAGCATTAAGATCCGCTTTGACCGAATATAAGATTTTTTAATTTAATTTGTCTGTTAATTTGATTTACTTGATGAACTCACATAATTGAAATCAGAATAGTAATATCAAAAATTAAATTGATAATCAATTTAATAATGATAAATTAAATCTTTTTCATTGCTTTTTTGTAATGTTAAAGTAAGATAGAATATTAGATTACAAAATTGCATTATTTAATAATCAATATTAATTGCTAAAATCAATATTAAAACTTCGAATTCTAAACTAGGCTCTATACAACAAACTCTTTATATCAAATTTATATAATAAATATTCAGTATTTCTTTAGATTAACATTGTTATTTTGTAGTATATGCTTATCTTTAGGAAATTAAATTGTAATTTACAAATAAAAAGATTCCATAAAGAATTTTTATTAATCATTATTTTTATATAAACATTATTACACTGAACCAAAATACTATTACATTTTTTGATGATTTTGACGTAGGGGAGATTGCGAAGCTAAGGGAAATGTTAAATAGAGTCGGTGATTGTTTATCAATTATAGAAGTCTTTATTCAAGGGATATCAACTTTAAACTATAATAATTAACATTTATTATTAACATTTATTATTAATATTTATTATTAACATTTATTATTAACATAAACTATAATTTTAAACAAAAAACGAAATTGGTTCGATATTACCTCACATGGCAGATAATTCCCTACGGTAAAAGTTTTGTTTTTTTATTTAAAATTATAGTTTGTATTGATAATATATGAATGTTAATTACTGTAGTTTAAAGATAAAGAACTGGAGTACCTTTTGAATAAAGATTTTATTGATTAATTGATAAAAATAATTGGCAATTTTATTTAATTTTTCTCTTAGATGTCCACTATATGCCCCATTCTTCTTTACATTGTAAAAAAAATGATTGTATGTACTTACATTCAAAATAATAGGAAATGTAATCCACTTACACTTGGTGGATGATAAAAGGAATGAGAAATTATCTCAACCAAATTATATTACAATACCTATATATGCTAGTTATATTAGTCTCCAGTGAAAGAGTTTCTTCAAAAGCTGGACAAATTCTTTCAGATAGAAAAATTCGGTTGCAGCCGAAGCATGTGAATATACTTACTATTTTGAGTGAATAAAAGTTAAGAGTAATTTGAAAGAAAAATTTAATTTATCTTTTTAGTTTTTCAAATAAGGTTAATCAAATGTTCTACTCAAGTTAACTACAAAAATTGTTCGTACTTTTCAAATAAAAATAAATATTGTTTAGTTATTATTTAGTTATTATTATTTAACTTTTTACGTAGCTATTTTTAGTTTATTATATAACAACTATTCTTATTTTCACTATAATAAAAATATGTAATGTGTACAGAGTGTTATTCTTTAACGTACTCATTTTACGTTAAATTAACACAAAAATTTGAGTGGATCGTTTGAGATATGTGAAATGTGTTATAAACACAAACTTTTTCTAACTGTATTAAAATTATTTTTCTCAACATTAGTGACAAATCAAGTGAAGTTAAATTAAAAAATGTACAAATACATAGATTTGAAATTATCAATAACTTATCAATAATCGACTAATCGACAATAACATATCGAATGTAGAGTCACGATGTGATAGCTCTCATTTTGGATTAAGAAATGGACTAAAGAAGATTTCAATTTTGAAATTTTTTGACGTTCTCGACATAAACTCCACTTTACAGACACATATTAATGCATATACTTTAAAATCGTGCAAAAGGATTTTCGAATCTATAAAAAAGGAAAGAAGTATTAATTGTTATACAAAAATTATATCGGTTTATTTGATAATGCAGATGACTTTAGGATCCTTTTAATGATAATATGTAATTTTTTGGCTTCGATTAAATATATCATATACAATATGTACGCACACCTGTACCTTTGGTTATACATGTAAATGACAATAACAGATGTCTTTTAATGTGTAGCCTGTATCAAAATATATTTGTCATCAGATATTGGGTGTATGCCCGTAAAATTGATGATAATATCGAATGATAAACGAACATATTTAACGATTACCAAAATGTTGTCCACATTGTGCTTTGTCGAGCTCGTGTGAACAAAAACGGAAAAGAAACACCGCTCGTATCGTTACCATTTGTACTTCGCACAATCCGCAAATAGCAATAAATTCGATTCACTTACTGACGCGTTGCTGTATCGATTCTATCACCGCCGATAATATTTCAATTCCAGACAATCATGGAATTTTGATGTCAACTTTATGCTCATTGCATTTACATTAAACGTCAATGCGTAACGCAGCAGTCAATCTGCACACAATTTGAATAGGTTCTATACTTGATTGCATATGAATAATACGATTGTTGGAAAATATCGATCAAATGTTAATAACCTTTTTTTCTGATAAAACATCTGCAATATACTCACTTTGAAAAAGATAACTTGAAAATTAATGACAATTCAAAGAAAGCGACAGAGTTCAGTAAAAATTCAGTAAAAATTTAAAAAATTATATTTCTTTACATAAGATAACTGGACCTTATAGCCTAATATCTACTCGTCGTTTGTTTAATTGCACGATAAATTCTCTCTCTCAACTCTCTCAATAGATAACAATACAATTTTATAGTAAGTCGTGCAGACTGTTTATATAGTCTGATTATATTAGTTTTACTGTTCAGTTTGTTCATTCTATTATTGTCAAGGTAAAATAAAAGGAAGAATATTGTAATCGTGATATAATATTAGGTGTTGGAATTAATTCGTAGCGTTTTTTAAATGAAAGAATGTTATTTATTTCACATGAGCATTAAAAAATACATTAATGAAAGTACTTCCCATCACTTTCTACTACTTTTGACCATCTTTCGGGCAGTGAATGAATACCGCGTCGGAAGAACTGTTCATCTTTAGATGAAATCCAGGAATCGAACCATTTTGTACAATCTTCGTAAGATGTGAACTTCTGCTCGCACAAGCTATGAGCTAATGATCGAAACAAGTGGTAGTCGCTAAGTGCAATATCAGGAGAATACGGCGGGTGCGGTAGCACTTCCCATTTAAGTGTTTCCAGGTATGTTTTTACCGGTTTTGCAACGTGTGGGCGAGCATTGTCGTGCAGCAAGATGACTTTATCGTGTCTTTCGAAGTATTCCGACCGTTTTTGCTTCAATGCACGACTCAAGCGCATCAGTTGCCGTCGGTAGAGATCTCCAGTAACGGTTTCATGCGGTTTTAGCAGTTCGTAGTATATGACACCCTTCTGATCCCACCAAATACAGAGCAGGAGCTTTGAGCCATGGATATTGGGCTTTGCCACTGATGTTGATGGTTCGCCGGGCTTAACCCATGACTTTCTGCGCTTTGGATTGTCATAATGGATCCACTTTTCGTCACCGGTAACAATCCGATGCAAAAAACCTTTTCTTTTCTGCCGTTGAAGCAGCAGTTCGCACGTGAGAAAACGTCTCTCAATATCCCTTGGTTTCAATTCATATGGGACCCAATGTCCTTCCTTCTGGATCATGCCCAAACTTTTAAGACGTTTTCCTATTGTTGAGAAGTCAACTTCCAATGACGTAGATAATTCTTTAAGTGTTTGACATGAGTTTTCATTGAGCAGTGCCTGCAAATCGTTATCTTCAAATTTTTTCGGCTGACCAGGTCGCTCCTTGTCATCCAAGTCGAAATCACCAGCTTTAAAACGTGCAAACCACTTCCTACACGTTTGCTCAGCCAGAGCATGTTCACTATACACATCCACTAAAATACGATGAGCTTCAGCTGCACTTTTGTTCATATTAAAGTAATGAAGCAAAACTCCCCGCAAAAACACTTTATCTGGCACAAATTTTGACATATTCAATGAATTATACAGTATTGTTATTTATGATTTCAAGAAAGGTTATGTACGGCAAATGACGTCCTATGATAGATGTTTACAATGTATACAGAACTATAGGTAACAACGAAATAGTGTACTGCTTGTGCCATCTCTTGTAAAACGCTACGAATTAATTCCAACACCTAATATTTTATGTATAAATGTTATGGCTTTCTATGTATAACCAAGATATAGTTATTAATTTCTGTAATTTATATTATTGTAGCTTATATTATTGTATTGACAATACGATATTTGATTTGTATTTTCATTACTACGTTTTTGTTTATAATTAAAAAGAGGAAATTCTTTGTAAAGTGGGACCATAAAATATGGGACTAACATATCCTAATCTAAAATAAAAAAATCCGATAGAAATATATAAAAACCCAGATAGCCAAATGTCTGCAGTCTTCTAATAGACTGTCAATAAGTTTGAGCAGAAAATGACGGCATCATCTGCCATCAACTGCGTCTGCATTAGGCTTGTGTTCTGTTAACATTGCCTGTCGATATAATGTAAAGGCAAATTGTTGACAGAAACTGAGATCCTACCGACATTATCTGATGCTTACAGATTCTGTTACGTTTTTCCTAGCAGTCTATCAACAATATTATGTACATCTAATTCTGTTGTCATTTTGTTGACATAGTGTGTAGCAAACATTTAAAAGATCTGTTTTCTATAGACTTGGTTATCTAAAACGATTAAATTCTTAAAATTTCATTGTTATTTATAGAGCTCATCATAGGTATTTTTACAAGTTAGATACAACTGCTATCGTTCTGAATCAATTTTTATAACATATGGTAGAGGTGTGCGAATCAAACATTTGCAAAATCAAATCAAATCGAATCAAATCGAATCTGTGAAAACAAATCGAATCAAATTTAAAACCTTTATGCTGAATCGAATCGAATGGAATTCTTTTGATTCGAAAACAAATCGAATTTGAATCAAATGTTCATTCATTGATATTCTAATTAAAAAAAAACTTAAAAGCTGAAAAAATTCATTTTGATGTACAAGTATATCAAAAAGTTAATAATGTGGCATAAATGTATTAAAAACAATACTCTTTGATAATATACCTATATGTTAAAAATGACTCATATTCTCGTTTATTTAAAAAGATCTGGACCATTATTGAAAATACTCCATTATTTTTTAAATTACTAACTATTACTAGTTTGTTTCTAATATATCATACATAATTGTTATGTTATTATACAATATTATAACAATTACTGATCCGAAAAAACATATTTTATATACAGTGTCCTGAAATTTTTTGCCAAGCGCTTTTGTATAGATAGAGCGGACTAAACTGAGTCGAAAAGTTCTTCATTTTGCACTTTTCGCAATAGTTAACAAGATAATAATTACTAAAAATTTGCCGAATATTTAGTCTTCAATAATTTTTTTCTCAAATACTATCAACTTTATAGAAAAACTGCAAGAGACAACAATTATTTACTTTCTTCTCATAAAACTCTAACTTTTTCAGAATTTTTTATCAACTTTTTAGTACTGCATTTTCTTATTGGCAAACTTTTACCAACATGAGAAAATATGATATTGAAAAACTCTGAAACAATTCTCAGAACTTTTCAAAAAAAACTTAAATAATTTTTTTACTTTCGCTGTTTTTCTATTTTTTTGATAATATTTAAGTAAAAAATTATTGAAAACTAATATTCAGCAATTTTTAGTAATTAATATCCGATTATTGCAAATTATTGCAAAATGATAGAGGACTCAATCTTTTTGACTCAGTTTAGTCCGCTTTATCTACACAAGAGGCAAAAAATTTTCGAGACATTCGAGTATATTGTTGCAAAATTTCAATTTTTTTTTTCTACTGTTATCATCTCTATTACAATCTTTTTTACTCTCTTTGTTATTTTACTCAGTTTTTTTTTAAGACTCAGTTTTTTGTTCCGGAATCCGGTCGGATATCCGACTCAAAAAATTGCCTTCCTGGATGTTTGACCGGATATTAGATATCTAATGTTACATTCTTTTCAGATATCCGATATCCGATATCTGATAATTTTACGATCTGTTGCATCCCTAATTCTTACGTATCAATAAACATGTCAATAGACTTATAATCTTGTAAAAATAACATTGAGTCTTATTTCTTTGTTCCAACTCTTTAAGATTTTTTTCCGATCGGATATCCGAAAAGGCAATTTCTTCGAGTCGGATATCCGACATTTTCCGGATATCCAACCGGATTCCGAGTGTTCTAAAAAAAATCCTATAGAGGAAAAGATTGTAATTTTGCAACAATGTATAAGATATTACAGCATCATGAATATGCATACTTATTTCTGGAACATTTGTATAATAAAAAATTGACAATTTAATGATAATTAAATTTCAGCCGGAAATACTATTCCCGGATACTAATTATATCCGACTGTCCAGTCGAATAGTAAAAAAGTGTCGGATAATACCGGATACCGGATACTTTCCTAATATCCGATGCATCCTTAATATATATATATGCATGTATTCAATATGACCTAAATACTACTTTCTTTTAAAATTTTTATTGTATCCATGTAAATATTGGAGAATGTCTTATAGTTTTTTAATGCTCAGAAATATTTCCTTTTTTGAATCTGACTATCAGTTTTCAATTTTGGACTCAGTAAAAAAACTTTTTTAAGTCGCGCAAAACTGAAGTAGGCCATACAGAGTTTGATTATCTTATATCTTCGTTTATGCAAAATAATATGTATTTAAATAATCGGTAAAGAACTAAAGACTTATATATAAAATTTGTATAGCGGTCATTTATAGTCATATTTATAGTCATTTAGCTATATATACCACTACACCTTTTGTATGATCGCGTATCATCATGCGTATGATGGTTCATAGAAAAACACCTCGCAATAACTAATTGGATTGTCTTTGTCTTGACGCGCTAGTTACGGATAACGATTTCTCGTTATCTGAAGTTGTGTTATTACCTGAGCGGATTCATCAGCTTCTCCGTCACGTAATCGTCGCAGAAGGAATTTTCGAAAGACAGGTAGAAGAAGTAGCGAGCCTCGATTATATTTTTAAAACAGTTGTCGTAGCAGTTCAAATTGCCACATCTGCCATAAATATCAACGTCTATGTGCTTTGACAGTTCCTTCACATATTCCAGCCGGCCACTTTTAGCATAGCAGTTGCTTACCATCCAAGATACCGACTTGCTTTTAGCCTTGATGGTGTCCAATATTGCAGATGACACTTCTTCCGCATCTCCTGCATCTGCAAAAACTGATTAGTTCTCGCGAACTGATTAGTTCTCGCGGTAGCTTTATATAGTGAGAAATAGAGATCCTATAACACAATGCGATAAAAAAAAATTGTTGGAGCGCGATTTCGAATCTGTAGGTTGATTGTGAAGAACACATCCAAAACAGTATGCCCGATCAGTATATATAGCCCGATCGAGTCTGAGTTTCATTTAATTGAAATTTGAAGTTAGCCAATTTTTTGGCTATAAAAATTACCAAAAAATATAAAAATAAGGAGAAAAGAGGACTTGAAGAGGTTCTATTGCGTTTCTTTGAAAGTTTTACTAAGATATCGTTTACAAAAAATAATGAGAGAGACTTGATTGACTTAAAACCGATTTTGCGACAATGAATGTTTTATTGATAAACAAGTTGAAAAAGAAATATATTTAAAAAAATTGATTTGTTTATGCAGACGTGTTGCTGTCACTTTCATCCAAAAGTCAGTACAAGTCAGCGATCATGGCGTCAAGTGTTTTTTCCTTGTAGCGCTCTAAAGACAACGTTACTTGGTGAAAGCACTCACTTTGTTCATACGATTCGGTTAGCACTTGATGCAGAAAATATTCAATGTGATTATGCAAAATATAAATTTTCAACAACATGTGGACACCAATGCATTCGAAAGCTTTTATAGCGTCAACCAATTCGTAGACATTCGCTCAATATTTTTTCAGCACGTTCGCCATGACATCTTTGATCACCACGCAATTAACTCATTTGTACTAAGCTTCTCTTAAAATGCCTCGTTTCTCTTCAATCGCCGAATATCAAGGCCATTCATATGCCTGAAGGAAGGAACAATCCTTAGTACAATGTGAAAGGCAATTAAACAATTACACACTGATTCCTACCTTCCTTGATTTTCATTGAATTAAGTCTTTTGAAAATTTCGGTCAAATGTTTAAAAGCTTTTCCATTAGGATCTAGCGCTTTGATGAAGTTTTTTACAATGCCGAGTTTCATATGAAGCGTTCCTCACAGAGGAATCAGAATTCTTTCTGCCGGGATAAGAGCAATGGTTATCGGATGATATTCTTCAGTCCAATTTCAAGCATTTTTTGAACGTCTATTACAATTAACCTTCAGATTCAAAAAACGACTGTTTTAAATGTTCATGTCATTATTTTTTATAGACTCTATTATATCTTAGTAAAACTTTCCGAGGGGAACACGATGAAACCGCTCCGAGCTTTTCTTCCCTTTCATTTTTACATTTTTCGGTAATTTTTATAGTCAAAAATTGGCTAACTTCAAATTTCAATTAAATAAAACTCAGATCCGATAGAGCCAAACCGAGCACAATGTACTGTTTTGGACGTCTTCTTCTATCACAATCAATCTTCAGATTCGAAATCGCTCTCCAACAATTTTTTTTTATGTGCACTGTGTAATCAGAGTTTAGCGAATGTGGACCAAAAATGACGGATAAAAAGAAATAATAGATATTGCATATGAACGCATGCGAAAAAAATGTTAAAATATGTGACAGACAATACTCGAAGAAATTGACCGAATTGATCAATTAGCCAAATTGTGCAATTGTAATTTATTAATTTTCTCTTTATCCGAGATCTCGGAACGATTTCTAACTTCTTTGATACAGGTTTATGTTATCATCTGTTTGTTGTTATCTATCTCTTTTTTTTTTCTTTACACTTGTTTTTCGACAATGTACGAAGCTATCCGAAGAATATCACTGGAAAATCAATTAGAAGTTGTGCCCGTTTTCGACAAACTCTGATTATAGGAGGCTCTAGTGAGAAGATACGAGTAGACCGCTCGAGAATTTGTTATTGAGATAGTAGTTTGTAGACATAAGTTATTTGTTTTATGACAGAGAAACTAATTACATTTTGCATAAAAAACATGTACAAGTAATGAAAGAACAATCAATAAAGAATAGAGCTGTAGTCATTTTGCTGTAAAGTTCTATATTTTGTGATTTTAAGAAGAGATTCTGGCGTATCCCTTTGTCAATATTCGACAGGATCGTTGTTTTTTCAATGATGCTGGAGTAACGGTCGAATTTGATCGATGTTGATAGTACAGATTTTTTAAATTCAAAATTTAAAAAGTCGATAATAGTGACATCTTTGATTTATTTCTTACATTATCGTTCTGTCTCACTTAAACGCATACATCTGTCTTTATCTAACATATTGCAACGCCATCTCTTGCAAGATGGAACATCTACTTTTAAGAAAAATTACTGCTTTACTTGTATTATTCCGTCTTGACTCAACATTCGTATACACGTAATTAAAAAATCGATATAAATCTTTCTTTTTAAGCTCTTAATCTTATACTCAATATTGTTTGTGCACACAAAACGCCAGATGCTGAACTGTCGTTTTGATCTTTAAAATTTTTGTATTAAAGAAATATTTACGTTAGGTGACGTTCTATAAAAAAAATATAAGTTTTTGATAAAACCGCCGACGATCTTGACCTTGATATATGTGTGACTTTGAGCAACCTCCAACAAATTTTAACCGTCGCTTATTCATTGAAAAATTAACAAAAAAAAATTTGAAAAAATAACGTTTTATTTCTGTTATATTAAAACTATTCTATACTCTTCCTTGCTTACATAATGACTTTTCACGCAAAACAACTTTCATCCTACCTCCCTCCCCCCCTGCTTGGAGGCGCACGACTTCCACGCGAAGCGACTCCTATCCCGCCTCCCCATTGCTTGGGGACGCACGACTTCCATGTGAAGCGATTCCCACTTCACCTCCCCTTCCCCCGCTTGCGAGTGCACAACTTCCACGCTAAAGTAACTCCTAACCCCACCTCTCCCCCTGCTGGAGGGCGCATGACTTCCACATGAAGCAACTTTCTAAGTCTTGTTGAGATCACTCAGGGTCATGACTTCGAAAATCGCTTCGCGTGAAAGTCGTGCACCCTAAGCAGGGGGGAAGTAGAATGAGAGTCGCTTCACGTGCAGAAATAAAACGTTATTTTCTCAAACTTTTTTGTTAATAACTTTTTAATGACTAAGGAGCGATGACTAAAACTTGTTGGAGATTACTCAGAGTCATGATCTTGACAACATATGTCAAGATCAAGGTCATCGGTGATTATTCCCCTTTTCTGCAGTTTTACCAAGTTTTTAACTTCCTTTTTGATTTTATAAAGTCCATTGCAGCATCTCCCAATTTTGTGTCTACTTGAATCCAGTAGAAGAATTTTTTATTTCGTTCAATAAATTCGAAGATTTATATCGGTCTACAATGTCTCGACAATCACTCCAGCATCCTCTTAAATGCGACTTATATACGATTTACAAGATGCATTACTACATACTACTACATTAATACATTACTGTAATACACTATTACATCGACATCGCACCCATACAGATATACAATTTGTCAAAAGAGATAATCTTTTAAATTAAGTTTCCAAACTTAATTTTAACAATTCATCAATAATCATTTATTTATTTTACATCTGGCTCTATCTTTATTTCACGCATAAAACTTGCGTAACTTGTCTATTAAATAAATGCTTCAATGAATTGACAGTTTTGATTGCCATATTAGGGTAAAAATTTGTAATTTCTGAACAATTTTTATCTCAAATATATAGCGACCAAAACTGTCTGGCCGGTATATTCATAGTCGGATCTTATATTTAAGACCGTTTTAAGTACAATCTCAAAATGTCACAAACCAGAGGGCGTATTAGCATCTTAAGGCGTTATTTAAGACGATGTTGAAATAAGAAAGGATTATGAATACCGGCTGTAATTTACTAAATGTTTTCTTTATGTTAAGCAGATTATGAAGATCATATGCGCAAAATAAAGATAGAGTCAGATATAAACTAAATAAATAAGTAAATTGTTAAGTTTAGAAATCTAAAAGAAATTTAAAAGATCTCTCTTTTGACAAATTGTATAAGTGTGCGCGTATCTACTACATTAATAATATAGTGATGTTTTTATAAATTGTAAAATCGCGTATGTAAATTGCATTTAATCGGTAAAACTGATTCCATCGGAGATCCCATGGCCGTCAATTTTCTTTAAAACTGTGCGATTTTACAACACAAAGGGTGAAAAAAATTCTATATATTGAATAACATGTACACGATATTTAATCTGAATATTTTCATTGATTACAAAACGCATTGAATAAAGAAAAAGTAGATATATAATACATTCAAAGAATATATTACTTGTATGATTTTGAAAAGCGCTCCAATTAACATCCTTTGATGGTGCGACGAATTCGCCATTTTTTACATCTTCTACAATCATGTAAGTCCAGAGTATGTCACTATCAAAACGGTATGTCATTGTGAGGTTGAAAAAGTTTCTCCGATATTTCTCATACACTTTTCGATTGGCTGGACTTTCCAAATTAACGAAGACGTAAAATTGCGTCGTCTTCCTCTTCTGTGGTACTTCATTATTCATTTCGTTACCGTGGAAAAGAATCGCGTCATAATCTTCCGCATTCATATAGTTCTGATCGTTAATGATTTTGCACTTATCAAAAGGACAATCGCGGAAAATGTCTTCTATTTCTCCTAAATAAAAGTTCTTATTGCCAAAGAATGTGTTCCACAAAAGAATAGTCTTTATGCCTTTTTCTCTGTATGTTTTTGCCCTATCGGTTTCATTTGCAAAATAATCCTCTTCACGAATCATTTTCAGATATATATTGTGAATTTGAAAATCGTCATAAGTGGCTGAATAATAGAGACAGGTTATCAAGATCATTACTACAATTAGACCGATGAAAAGATATGATTTCTTCTTCATTGTTTTAGCAATATTCTTATGAAGATATGCTGTCCACATTTCTTATAAAATTAAATAATATCACCGCACTATTAAATAGACTGTCTCTTGCCAGAATAAATTTTTAAGTCATGCCATACGTAGTTATTGAAAAAAATATTGCATAATTTATTAAACCTTGTATGCACAGTGGCCTTTAACAAGACTTTTTTTTATATCTATTGTTTGTTTTAAGTATATCTGCTGCTATTCTATAACAGGAGTTTAGTGTGAACGATCTTCGAACATTGGCGGTGGTGAAGATCGTGGAAAATAACTGCACATTTCAATCACAGAAAAGATTCCTTGTAGCGATAATGCGGATGTGATTTGATAAATAAATATAAAGTCATAAGTACAATTTGTTCTTCATGCGGAAGACAAGAGCTATAAAAGAAAAACTTGTTTTATTTTACAACTTTTTTAAGTGTCGGCTATGGTCTCGGAAAAATGTATTACTCACGTTGTCGAAATAAGGCACGTATATCTGTATGTATATATGTATGTGATAATCACGTACGGTTGTACATTGCTTGGTAATTAGGAGACAAAAGAAAGAAAGGAAGATCGTCATTCGTAAAGCGAATCAGTTCAATAGTTTTAAGTTTCCATCGGCATCGATTTCTACATATATCGATTTGTACATATGTGAGATTGGCTTATCTCATTCTATGTAAAGTTCATGTAAAATTGCGGTATTTCATTACAAAATCTGCAGATTGCCTGATAAATTCAGTAGATTTGTTAGAATTATTTGATTTTAATATTTATAATATATATAGTAAATAAGGGCGATATAAACAAGATAATTACTTTACTATTTGATGCCGTTTCCAAACTTCTATTCATTTAATGATCAAAATGCTCGATTATGTGTCTTACGCCGAGATATCATGTATTTAACAAAATAAGAGTTTTCTTTGTAGGAATATGTAGCAGATTCTTCAATGTATTGCAGTTTTAGAAGAAACGCTTCATACGTTTTATAATAGATTACATTTCGTGCGTGTGGGAGGATCAGCTTACACTTATCTGCATTTCATGCGTATGGAAGAATCAGCTCACACTTATCTCCAATTAGTATTTGTGCTATGATCGAGGCTACGATGCATCAGAGTCCAAGAGAATTCTTCTTCAAATTTACGAGATCTGTATAAAAAAAAACAAAATTACAACGTATTTGTATTGATTCAAAATATAATAAATTTGTGATAAGATTTATGATAAATTATCTTTTTTTTTGTTTCGTCGGTGAAGATAAATGGAAATGATAAGACAAATGGAAAAATGTATAAAAATAAATGTCTTGATTATTAACGGGATAAGAACAGTTACACTGATTAGAATTAAAATACAGAATTAAAGTATTGTAAACACGTAATTCAATATCGTACATACATACATACATAATTTGACAAGTAGAAAGCAGGCGATAGAATAAAAGCAAAATGTTGGAAGTATTCTAAGCTTCAAGGAGATATCAGATGCAACTAGTGCGAGAGGACGGGCGATTAATTCGCCACGACTCTTGGGATGAAAGCGCTCGATGAAACAGGAGAAATTTTCATGGATGAATAATCGAGTTCTTTCAAAAGATCGTAAACGTTTGATGTTCTTTTGGGGTATATGTTCACTTCCGCTCACTTTGTCTGTAGGCGGGTATCAGGACGGTGGGGGAACGTGAACACGAGGTTTCGTTTGATTAAAAATTGCTCTCTTATATCCAACATGAATGGTCTTTTTCTCTACTTGCAGTGTAGAGTGTGCTTTAATCTCTCATCGCAGTTGCGTTGCATGTAGTACGTAGCGTTTTAAGTGAACATTTAAGATAGGCAAGATAGTTAATGGATTAATTGATTAATACGCAGTGAATTATGAGTGACGAAAAGCTAGGCATGAATAAATGAATTGATAAATTATTAAATACATAAAAGTGACGATACAGAGAGAGAATGATTTCACTAAAGTATCTAAAAATTCAGCTATAGATAAGATCCGAAAATAAATTTTGTTGCATTATATAAAACATTCAAACTATTTGCTTATAGAATGTAAAATTTTTTTACAGCATTGTTCATCATACTTGAGTTGCTTATATAATTATTTTGATGGTCCAACAAAATTACTCTTTCTGTAAACTTCTTAATGTCAAGATTAATTATTTTTTAAAATTATTATTTTTTTAATTGTTATTTTGTCTTTCATTATTTCTGTTTTTATATGCGATAGATATTTATTTTATGTAAAATTCACTATTATTTATTTATTATACGGACATGTATCGATCATTTACAATATTTAATACGCAGTAAGTGAATTAATATTGTAGGTAAATACACAACTGAACCGTTTAATCCTAATTGACAATAATGAGGACTGCACCAAGCCGGAAGGTGGTTAGAATGATGAACGCAGAGAATTAAATAGTTAATGATTAATTTTACGCTATACCCTGCTTATTTGTTAAAAGCGTAAACAAAATTATTTGTCAGTCGCATAATTAAAATTGAACAAATCTCACTTTAATTTATTGTAATTACAAGTAAATTAGAACAATTGTGCGCAAATATTATAAATGCCGTAACAACAATACACACATATATGTACACATTATATATTTTATTTAATTTTTTATTAGTATTAATTACATGCGTGATTACACATTGTATTCTCGAGAACGAAAATACAATTTTCCTGTTTCAATAATTTTATCGCAATTATCAAGTTTATTTTTAAATTATTCTACGCCATAAAATAGTGCGCCAATGAAATTTTTCAAATGAACAACATTCGTACTTTGGCATATTGATTTAATCATGAAGTAAATTCCGTCAAGAAAACATTTTACGCAGAACACATTTCTTCACTCTCCCAGAATTCACGGACAATATTAAATTTTCATTGACTTTAGTCGTGATTATATTTGATCGATTGAGTTTCAATTTAATGGCGTGACTAATATCGTCAACATTTTTTCATAGACATTACGTCATGTATGCAGCAGTTCCATACTGGTAATTTGAGGTCACGGTTTCCGCAGTACGTCAATATTTAAGTGCCGACGTTAACATTGATAGATTACACCATCATTTGGTACAAGTTCGGCACACATGTAATAAACCAATAAGTAACATTAAGTATTTTCGTAAGTATTTTTCGCAATAACATCGATTCTCGGAGCAATGTGACTAATGATAATCGGAAAGCGGTTAAATGAGCGGAGCGCCGAAGGTTGTCGAGCCGTCACGTTGCATAATCGCGTCGCTGTTATAATTCGCGGTCGAATTCGCATTTACGTGGAATTTAACTGGTTTCATATGAAAGGATTTCGATTTGGCAATTTGTACCTTGCGTTTCTCTCGGATTAATTTCGATCAGTCCTATCGCGCCATGAATAAACCATTTTTCGTTGCCATGTCCTTGACATTTCACTATGGTGCAAAGCACATTTTTGCAGCTGATTGCGCGTTGTTATGAAATTACATGTTTCGATAGGTCGCATCACTCGTACGACAAGTCTCAACATTTCGTGTCTCGCGGGACGTGTGTTTGTATCTCGCGACGGTCACCACTGGCACCGACTCGCTGCCTTGAAAGTTGCAACTCGACTGGCTAAACAGAGCGTAGATATCATACAACGTATCCTACCTAACCTAAAAGACTGATCTCGGTAAGCGGAAAAATAAAACGGTTCGCGGAATCCGACACTGCGTCAAATGGAAATATCCTGTAAAGAAATTCTCGACTCTGTAATTAAAGTGCAATTATTGCGATTTCTTTTCTTCTGAGGAAATTATTATTATGACTCGAGCAATATACACACATACACACACACATACATACGCACACACGCAGCATTTTCGGATATTTTATAATTTCAGGTATTTTAGGCATCTGCATACATGACATTGACAGACAAACAGTAACGATAACTTTTATACTAATTCTAGAATGAGTCTGTAGTCGAAAGTCTTAGCTTAATCGGTGAAGTTAGCCAATCAGCGTTAGTCATACAAGTTGGCTATTGGTCAATTTCACTGATAAGACTTAGGATTATCGATTCATTATTGACTCATTGTAGAATCAGCATTATGCTTCAGTATATCGAGAACATACTGATATCTGCGTAAAGACATAGAAAAATTTGCAATAACAATAATTTACTTCGATAAATTGTATGACAATTTTTAAATGTATGAATTTAATAAACGCGACACTGAGCGAAAAAGTTCGAAAACTATTTTGATATTAATTTCTTTAGAATTTGCAAACTCTAAAATACTATGTATGTGCATGTACGAAATAATTTAGTCGAAATAATACACACATCAGAGAGTACCTATCTACAAACGCAACAATTTATATCGAAAATATATTAAATGCGATTTATCATGCTTAAGGTTGCTATTTGGATAATGTGGAATAAATATACAATAAATGTTTTAATGTAAAACATTTTTTTTAATAATGTGATTGATTTATACGTTTTTAAAATTAAGACGTAAAAAGTATGTGCATACACATTTAACCAAGATTATTAATTTCTTTATGAAAAATCAAAAGATTTTTTTATTTATCTATAATAGTAATAAGGCTCAATAAATTAAAAAAAACATAAAGATAAATGGCTAAGATTAAGTGTTATAAAATAAAAATTCTTAAACCGTTAATAAATAAACATGTCATCTAATTAAAATATAAACTTTAATTTGCCGGTAACAAACAAAACAAATATAAACGTTTCGATCCCTGTTGGATTATTATCAGTGTAAACAAAAACGGTGGAAATATTACATAGCTAAGACATATAAAAATTAAAATTCGATCTCGATCGCAGTATTAATCAATCTCGCTCAATGTAAAATAAATGTTACAGGAATGTTGTAATCGATAACCATGTACAGGGTTGGCCATATTCGACGGAAAGATCTGGCAACACTGTAACTTTTGACAGAGATGTTAGATCGAGTAACGACATTTCCCATGATTGAAAAAAAAAACATCTTTCCGTCGAATATGGCCAACCCTGTATTCCTCTGGATTGTATATGTAGATTATAGACAAACCGTAACATGTTTCTGTGTTAAAAAATACAAATATAATATAAAATTGTAATCGGAATAAATAATAGAATCTAATAAGAGAAATACAAACTAAGAAGCAAGGAATACAAAAAAGTAAAAAATCTAATATTATGAGAAATGTATATTAAAACGAATTGTAATTGTGTGATGAACAGTCATAAATTATATATCTTTAATTTAGTAACAGCTAAATCAAGTGAGAATAAATATCTTTTAGTTATGTGTCATTATAATATAAACGTTGTCTATTCTTAGGCAATGCGGTGAGATTGAAAATATAGTCATTACTCTAAGGTGCTCAGATACAATATAAAATCCGTATGTTAAGATAAGAAGGTTGAAGTGGTAAACTAGAAAAGAAGGGAAACATAAGAGCGAGAAAATAAAGTAGAGAGAAGAGAAAGTGGGGAGCAGGGATGTACAATTTTTTTTTTTTATCATTATGAAAAATTCCTTTTTTTAAACGATTTTTTTAAATTCAGTTATTTTCTTTATTGCTAAAATATATAAATGTTACGTGCGGTAACGATATTTTTAAATATTTGAATAGTGCTTTGACTTGATACAAAAATATAAATGTAAATAAATATAATGTAATATAACACATTATATATAAACATTTTCCGCATGCATCAAGATAATGAAAATATTTTTAATACGTAATAAATAATTATATAATATTTGCATGTGACGCACATTATACGCAATATGCAGTTGCAGGTGAAGAAAATAATTTCTATTTTGATCTCATTAAAAAATAAATAAACTTGTAAATTAAATCAATAATGTTTAATTTTAATGATTAATTGAATAAATATTTAGTTAAATAAGGTTTTTACAATATACAGGTTTCATCTCGGAGCATGTAATATTTGAATGAATATAAATAATGGAACTCTTTATGTACTTTATTATATATGTTATTATATATGTTAGTAGGCTCATTCAATCTTGTTTGTGATTGAATTTCCGTGCATACTATGAGTTACTATTATCACATAAATATCTAATGTGTGATTTTAAAAATATTACTAGATGATATTTGTAATCATTCTCTTTAAAAACATGTAATGGAAATTATTTTTTCACAGATAGCGAACAAAAAAAAGTGCGATTTGAATTTCTCATTATAACCGGACGTTACGACTTAATACTCAATATTATTCGCTGTTTATGGATAATTACACGCTGAAATTAACAGATAACATTAGTAAGTTATGAAGACTGATTCAATTGCATCGATTTATTACTCAAATCGATTTATTATTCGATTTATTATTCTTTTTTTAAATAACTAGATTATTCACAATTATCATATTTAATAAATTCTAAAAGAACAGAAAATAGAGCCAAAGATACACCTCCAAGTTGCTCTAAAACTAAAAGTTTTAATGTCAATAAATTCATTGAATCCATCTGGTATTGTTAAATCTATACCAGAAGCTGTGCTTCTCATTTCTAATTGTTTCAATATTATTACATAACACATAATTGATCGCGCCTTTTCCGTTTTTTTAATAGTGATGTTGGTTTGTGTAGATACTTCTGTGTCCATATTGTAACAGAACAGAATACTTGAGTCTTTTATCTCCAAAGCCTCTGGAAGATCTGTCCGAATAGCAATTTCTCGAGTACTTGGGGTAAATTCATCTACGCGCGCGTTTGTAGCATTATTAAAATTATTTAAGGCCAGATAACTTGCTTGTTTACTCCGGTTTCTTGTTCGTACAAATCGTTTCATACGGATCTCAGATACTTTTTTTATCTCTGTCCGAAAAAATAAATAATGGTAAATAAGCTGGATTTCTCGGGGATTTCTTGAAAAGTCTCAGACTTTTCTCCACCAATGAAATAAGCACTGCATATTCTTGAATTTTTATTCGATATTCATGGCTTGCTATCCTTTCAGAAATAAATAAAAGTATTTTGTTAAAACAAAAATACTGAATACTATAGATCTATATTCGAATTAATTTTAATATGATATTAAAAATAATTACTTACTCCAAATAATTCATAGCTCGAATCCATTTTCCTATTTGTTCAAATTCCCATTTCATATTAAGAAATGAAGATCGAGATTTTTGCAATTAGAAATACTTTTGAGTGGAGGAGTTCATTTTTAAAAATATCTATTTTAACAGATGGACCCAATAATTACCCAAATATTGGGTCATCTAAAAAGTATCCGCGGTACTTTGTCACTAGATATATGACCATCAACACACATCTAGTGACAAAAAACCGCATACCCAATATAACAGTAGCGCTGCTCAAGAAATACAACTAGAAACGAAAGATGAGTAGGACCACAGCTCCTACTCACTCCAATAAACGCGTTGGAATGAGTAGGAACTATATATGGTAAGAACAGGTAGGAGCATATTGGAACATACAACGTAAACAAACCTAGAAACGTTTCGGAACAGACCCCCCCAGAGTCCCTAGAGTCTCCAGGTCGGCTTTGAACACAGTAAAAAGCACAGGCAATATAGAAATAATAAATTTTAACCTGTCAGAAACCGTGCATACTAGTATACATTTATTTCTGATGGCGAATTTAATTGGACAGACTAGTGCATAAAGCCATTGTACACTGATTTAATTTGATTGTAAAAGTGAAAGGCAAATATTTCGAATTATAAAATATGTATTTTATCTAATAGCACAATCAAATGTATCGAGTATTTCGATGAAATTTTCGCACGGAATGCAAAAGATTCGGGTTCAACTCCCGGTCGAGGTAATATTTTTCGCAATAAGAATTAATTATTACAGATTTTAATATGTCATTCAACATTATTAAGATCGTTTTGAAGATGCGAATAAGCATCAAAAATTTGATAAATTGCTAGTCAATTTAATTCGTGATATTACTGCGATAGTTTAGTGGAGTTAGCGTTTCAAGACCGAAAAATCGGCGCGCGTTTCTAAGAACTATATACGTAGTATATAAATTCACACAAGAATCATACAAGCATTTAAAATCCATTTAAGCTAGACCGTTTAAAGCTTTGATTTCTATAGTTTAATAACTGTATTTAATACATGTATATAAAGTATATTTAAGTTGTTAGAAAATCTTGCGTCTGAATCGTCATGTGTAATGAGATATAAGAAATAATCTTCTAAATCATCACGTCTTCTCAATCATGTATCACGTATCAGAGTCGTAATATATTTTTCAAAGAAAAGATAAGTTTCTCGGAATAAATGATAGGAATAACTGTAAACATCTTATTTACTTGTCAAATATGTATTAGGTGTTGGAATTAATTCGTAGCGTTTTACAAGTGATGGGAAGTACTTTCATTAATGTATTTTTTAATGCTCATGTGAAATAAATAACATTCTTTCATTAAAAACGCTACGAATTAATTCCAACACCTAATAATAATTTCTAAACATACTTATAATAATGAAATAATTTTTAAATGTTTATATATAATAAATTTATATTTTACTCTGTATCGTTTACTCATTATATTCATTAGGTGACCGGTTCATTATATTCATCAATAATGATACTCGATGAAAAAATGTTTTAAACATAATGACTTCTTGCACCATGAGAGAGGGAACATCTTACTACAACTATATTACTGCAATCTTCGATATCACACGTTGAACTTTTGTTGAAACTAAATTCTATAGTACTAGATTTTCAAATTCTTCTGTGGTCTTTTGTTTGTATAATCACTTATAAACCACGAATATTTAAA